AAAAGCATGTACATACTATGATGGTAAGTAGCTGGCTGACCAGTAAATCCGTTCTGCTGCTGTCCTGGCTGAGGCCCTGAAGCTATCTGCAACAGTCCTTCACTATGGCTGCCTGCCAGAATACTGGCCGGCTGACCTGGAGAAATAAGAAGACATTAACATGGCACATGGATAGATGCAAGTTTATTCTTTTATACAAAAATGAAGGTCTAATTATGTCTGGTAATCCACAATTATAAAGGTGGGCCAAAAGTGGAACTCACCCATTGCCTATCAAATAAAAAAAAAAACTAAAAGCATTTATTAAAAAACCTTCAGAATTGTTCAAATTATCCTTTTCTTAATAAATGTTTTCCTGGGGCTGGAGAGGTGGCTCAGTGGTTAAGAGCACTAGGAGAAGACCTGGGTTTGATTCCCATCACCCACATGGTGGCCCACAACCATCTATAGCTAGTTTCAGGGAATATGATGCCCTTATACATACATACATACATACATACATGCAGGTAAACACCAATGCACATGAAATGAAATATTTTAAAAAAGGAATGTTTTCCTAATGTTGGTGGCCTGTTTCCTCACAGATCCTCTTCAAATGCTAAGAAATACACCACCTGTCTATGCTATCGCAACAGCTTTAGAAGCAGCAACAGCTTTAGAAGCATCTCTTCAAACCTCGGCACTTCACCTGAGACCACTCTGGACTCTCCTGATTTGGATCCCCAAAACCCAGAAAAGAAAATGTTGACAACAGAAAGTTAATTATCATGGCATTGGTGCTGGTAATGGCAGGACAATGGCGTATAACAACAACAACAACAACAAAACTAAAAACAAAGGAGGCAAGTGTTTTAAATGTAATAGGATGGCAAGGGTAACAAAGTTAACATAAAACAAAACAACTAACTCCACTGTCAACCAATACAGCACTTGGTGAAACAACAAAAAACTCTACTTTGAACCTCTTCATGTCCTTTAACATCAGAATGTCACTGTATGCCCAGATTTGCATTAGATCAGCTGTTCCCTCTGTAATGTGCCAAGAAAATGGTTTCATTTGGCTGCTCAAAATATATTCCAGTATGTTTTATTATCTGCCATGTATAGGTTTTATTTTATAAATAGAAAAAGACAAGCATTAGGTGATGTTTATCCCATTTGGAAAACACTGGAATGTTCTTACTATTATTTGTCAATGACACTTTTCTCATAAATGGAGTGCAATCAGATGAAGAAACTAAAAGTCATCACAATCTAAATAACAAGAGGAGGAACTTGCCAGGCACAGTAGGTATGGCCTCAATCCCAGCAGGAGGAGAGCTAAGAAAGAGGAACTCAAGGCCAGTTCAGCTGGGCTATAATGTAAGACTCTTGCCTCAAAATAAACAAACAAGCAAATAAATAAGTAAATAAATAAAAATTTCTCCTCCCTTCACAGCATAAATCCTTAAAACAAGGACCTACAAAACCATAGCACTCATCTACACTGAGAACTACTATACTCAGGTGTGTAGATGTTAAATAATGTAAAATCAGCTCATGTAAAATAGCCTTCCCATTCCTATTTTAATCTAGTTTTTCTTTCCTTTAACTCTATCAACATATCTTTTTAGAAACAAGGAAAAATTTCACTGCAAGTTCTAAAATCTACAATATATTTCAATTATAAAAATCTACTTTAAAAAGTATTATGACAGAACTGGATATATTTCATTCACAACTTTTTCTGGCCTTCATGCACAGTCTTCCTGCAGGGTGGGGAAGAAAAAGTCAAAATGAAGTCACTTTGGAAATCACTGAACAGAGCTCAATCTCCAGATAATACAAAACACAAGTATGTGCCTGGGCTCAGAAGCCATCCACATATATGTGGATGCCATCTATTTTATTTTCCATCTCCAACACTTCTGTCAGCTGTATTCCAAATGAGCAAATAAAAAGACAGGAAAGCCAGAGATGCACAATAGGTGTAATGCTGCATACATGTAATCCCAGCATTTCAGAGGCTGAGACAAGGATACCAGGAGTCCAAAGCCCTCATGGCTTATGGAGTGAAATCTTGTCTCAACCACCCCGCCCCTCCGCAAAGCTACATACATACACATATAATGTCATATGTGCACACAAATTATCTGTACTAATATTGTGACCACTGAAGTGGTGAAATAGACCACTGAGAAATTCTGAAAACAATTACAGGGGCCAGGCACATAGTTCAGTAATGAAGTGCTTGCCTATCATGGGTGACATACTGGCTTGGATACCCAGCACTAGGGAAAAGGCTCAGAGGGTGGGAGCAAAACAAATAATAAGGAAATCTATTTATCTCAAAGACTAAAACTTCAACGTTGAGTCTAAATTGATACTAACATACTGTTAGATAGTAACAAAATATCAATCTATATCAGTCAACAATCTCTTGACAATATAGGTTTAAAAATAATGCTCTTAGTAATCAAATGAATTAATACTATTTGCATGCTCTGCAACATTTAAATTTAAAAATAATAATTAGGAGCTAGGAAGATGTCTCAGTGAGTAAAGAACTTGCACTGCAAGCATGCAGCCCTCAGCTCTAATCCCCAGAATCCACATAAAGCTGGGCAAGCACTATAGTATGAATCTGTAACTCCTCCTATGAGATGGAAGAGACTAGTTGAATCCCCAGCCCACCAGACAAGCTAGCCTGGCATATGTAGCTGTAAACAATATGAAACTCTGACTCAAACAAGCTAGACAGAAAGGACCAACAACAGAGCTGTCCTCTGACTTCTGCATGTATACCACAGCACACATGCCATCACACATACATGTATGTATCATACACATTAATTTTTTTTAATTTTTAAATTAAACAAGCAAATTACTTCATAGAGCAGGTGGCTGTTCAACCTTTGGTACTGGAAAAAAAATAACAATATAAACTGTCTTTATTAGGCTCTGAGAAAAGTTGAGCCTGGGCTGGGGTATAGCTCAAGGATTTATCTGGCATGGGAGAGGTCCTAGTTTCAATCAATATGATCAAGAAACACAGGAAAAGAAGGAAGAAACAGACACAGACTGAGAACCTCCTATGACATGATGGCAAAGGTCAATCTTTACTACCATTCTTTTCAAAGATGTGGGTGTTAGCTTTATACTGAAACTCATTAAAATACTTGATACCTACCCGGGAGCAATAAATATTAAAAGCAAGTCTGCTTAAAAGCCCCTTTTCCAAGTGCTGGGTATTTCCACAATAGGAAATTGAGGAGACTATTGTAAAGTTATCCTCTCAGATAAAATAATGGGCTAAAGAAAGGTTTCAATTGCATCAACACAGACTTTTATAAACATCTTGGTACAAAGCTGTTTGCTGGGCCAGTGAGATGGCTCAATAGGGAAAGGTTGTTGCTACCCAAGGTCAGTGACCTGAGTTTGGTACCCAGAACCCATGTGAAGATGGAAGGAGAGAAGTGACTCCACAAAGTTATCCTCTATTCTCCACATATACCAGTAGCCTACATATGCACACATACATATGTGCACACATACACACACACAATTACACACTCAAACATACAATATTAAAAAAATTACTTGCCAAGCACTTAGATATTTATTTAAAATCTATCTGAAGAATATAGGAAGCTTCTTATGCATGTAATAGCAAATAACATATCTCAATTTAAGCTTATAATCAAAGTCTTTGACTGCATATCAACATTGGAAATTTTAAATAAACTGCAAACACCATTTTCTCCAGAATGAACTCACATACCAATTTAACATGTTTACCTATGTTTATGGCCTGAATGGTATGGCTCAGGAGTGAGGATCCACCTAGTGTGCATCTGGCCTCGAAACAATACCCAGAACCAGAAAAGACCACAACAGCTTAAATTTTTACTTACTTGGGGTTTCTCCAAGTGACTACACATAAATATTCAATGGTTAGGAAAACTTCCGACTACATCGGACTGCATAACTCACTTGTGGAAGCCACAGGAATGTTGGGGAAGTTGGTGGTACTAGTAGCATTAGACTCAGATGGGGCTAACAGAGCTGGGGCGCTGTATGTCTCCGTCGATGCACGATTACTTGGTGGATGTTGGATGGTTTGAATTAAATGTCCTTCAGTGGGTAAGGATGGCTGTCCCTCAAAGTCATGAACGTATTCATCCTTCACTAACATACTTGGTGGAGCTATGCATTAAAAAAAAAAAAAACCAAAAGAAATTTACACTTTTATATTCTTCCATTTCCACAAAAAATATATACAAATAATATGACAGCATCTAAAATTGACTAAGGTATAAATAATTCAAATTCAGAAATTTTTCATATTACAGTAAAGCACATATTTTATCAGCTATAGCTACTTTAGAGATTTCTATCAATTTGACTCACTGAAATTTGAAGAGATATTCTTCAATTTCCTGACAAGCATAGAAGTACATCTAAATAGGTTAAAACTAAATGCCTAACAAATGTTCACTCAGCTGTGTTGATCACATACTCCTCACGGCACACCAAGACTGGATACTGAGCTCTGCCTTTCTCAACTCCACAATGTGAGTGGGACCTGAAAGGCACTCGATGCCAAGACCCAAAATTATTTAAGGTATTACTTGGAATGCCAATCTATGTAAAAATGTTTGTTAAGAATACTCAATAATTAAAATCTTTCAGTTTAAGGAGCAATTCTAGTGTCTATGTCATGTAAAGTAATTATCTTTAATAAACTAGAGGTCATTTGCTTTGCTCTATTTTTTTTTAACTGAAACTAAACTGCATTCCTATCAATTCTCTGTTCAGAACCTTCTGAAATGATCTTGATCCACTATTTTGGGTTCTGCTGTCTATTTTTAATAAAACTATTCTTTACTCTTTCTGAACTAATACTTGTACATAACTACTCTATAAAGCTTTACAATCAACTGAATTCTAGTGTTAGGTATCTTCTTAGAGCTGTCACGTGAAGGCCACAAAGACATTCCCTTTAATTGAAAAACTAGTGTCATTTTCCTTATCCAGTTTTTTACTAAATTGTGACTTCTAACAGTAGAAATATTCCATATTTGCTCAAGCTTCTATATACAACCTTTTTTTCACTCCTGAAGCATGAAAATATTGATATTTGTAAAATTCGTATGTTCTAGTAGGGAGTGGAGAGATGGCTCAGTAGTTAAGAGAACAGCTTGCTTATGCCTAGTTTGGTTCCCAGCATCCCATGTCAAATGGCTCATAACCTTCTATCACTCCAGTTCCAAGGGACCCATTACACCTTTGGCCTCAAGTGCACCAATACATGTGCACAAACGCACAGAGACACAAAAATATATACACAATTAAAAAAAAAATGAAGTAACTTCCATGGGAAGCAATACAATAATAAAAAGATGCTTAATACAACATTATCATGTATTAGTATGCTTGCAAGGTATAATTGGTATAATAGTGGCACAAATGTTTTGGGAGTAACCAGTCATTTTTTAAATTGGATTTAAGGCCCACTCCATGAGACGGAACCCATATCTGACATTGTTAAGGTAGCCAAAAACCTGAGACCAAACATAGCTCATAGGCCCTAGAGAAAAACTTACTTTATTCTGCTAAAAGAACAGAAAAACAAAATTATTCCTAATGGCAAACTGCTATCTATACTCATAGACTAGTGCATCACTCAGACCTTATCAGAGGGGAATTAACAGAGACTCACAACTGGACAATGTGCAAAGAGTAACTCTGAAGCACACAAAATGAGCTGTCTAAATGAGCATCCTAACTGAGATGTCTTCATCAAAACCCTCCCCTGGAGGCTCATGGAACTGAAGTGGAGGCTGAAAGATTTTAAGAGCAAGATGTGGTAGATGACCCCAAGGAAACAAGTGTCTTCCAGACATAACAGGATAATGTACATATGAACTCAGAGACTGTAAACACACACAAGACCTGCACAAGTTCAGACCAAACAAAAATCCCAACACTGAGCAGACAACACAGTTCTACAATGGGTATCACTGGGTATATCAACCACACTCCAGAGCAGCCCCCATGTCCAAGAGTATCTTGCCAACACAGAATTGGTGTGTGTGTGTGTGTGTGTGTGTGTGTGTGTGTGTGTGTTAGAGAGACAGAGATGGGGGGGGGACACAGAACATGCACAAACATGTGGTAGGGAGGTGGGTTAAGGTATAGGAGTTAGGGGAGAAGAAAGAATATGAACAAAATTATAGTGCATGTAAAAAGAATTTTAAATAAAAAGTTGGCCCTAAATACTCACTAATGTTGGACAAATTATAATAATAAAACAAAATCCTGTTCAGAGCACAAGCTGGGTGTAGATGGCTAAGCTTTAGCTTTAGTTTTTTAAAATTATTTTACTCAAAAAATTCTGGATTTTTCTTCATAAAGATCTTGGCATATCTATTTAATTCTTTATTTAATTTAATGAACATTTAGGGTTTGTTGTTGAAGTGACTGAGATTTTTTTTACCTACTGGCATTACTAATACAAAAGGAAACAACTGTGAAATTGACAGCTGCATGAGCGACTGTGACACCCAGAACAGTCAACTGCTCTCTAAATAGCTAAGCCTCCCACGTTTTCTTCCCTTCATATGTTGATTAAACTCTCCTAAACACAAGTTTGGAACAGTTTTTTTCTGTGTCTGCTGCATGTGTGTTTCCTCACCCCCAATAAACACCTTTCTATACCTGCCGATTTCTGTCTGCTGATGTCTGCAGTGTAAAGAGATTTTTCCTTCACCATCTGTTGCACTTGACTTTTTCCTGTCTTTTAATCCTTTAACTGGCAGAGAAAAAGAACCTAATCAAGACACCTAGGCTGTCCTTTTGGAACCTCATCTTGGGATTTCTTCTGAGGATCACAATTCATCCAGGAAGAACATTAAGGAAAAGTCCCCAGTGCTGAGTTCAATCCTTCCATCAGACACAGATGTCTCTCTCCCCTTTACTGGCTGAGGAAGAATTCTGCCTCCCCAGGAACCAAAGTGCCTGGGTGCATATCACTGAGGACATCTTCATAGGAAAACTTCAAGTTTCCATGCTTAATCTTATGCTCAATGCCCTTGGAGGTGACACTGCAGTCAGATTAACCTGAGACAATGCAAATCAAGTCACACACCTCATAATCCCTGCTCTCAGGAAGCAAAGGCAGGTGGATCTTTGTGAGTTTGAGGCCAGCCTAGTCTACACAATGAGTTCCAGGACAGACAGGGCTACATAGATTAAACCCTGTCTTGAAAAACTGGAAAAAAAAAAAAAAAAAAAAAAAAAAACGGAAAAAAAAAAAAAAAAAATCGCACACTTCAGGAGTCTCTCATGATCACCAAACAAAAGATACCGAGTCAGTCTAGGAGCACACACTCAATCACCCAGTTTGATATGGTCAACCATGACTCTCCTCCATCTCCCCATAGTCTTGACTCATTTGAAGTAATGGTGCAATCCTTGTGGTAAGATATCAGCAAGTAGAAACACTGCCTTTGTACGTTACCCACTGGGTTAGCTGAACTTAAGAGCCAACTTCCAGACACGGGGTGTCTCATCCAAAATACCAAAATTGTGACAGGAAGGATTAATCAGTTTGTTTCTGATGTTGCCCAACTGTTTGCCAAATATGAGCAATAAAGGTCATCACAGAACCTGCAACACCAACACTAGATGCTTCAGAGACACTTCCAAAGACATGAACATCCATCTCCATTTGAATACATTAGAACAGCATGGAGCTATGGACCACAAAAGTCATGTTTATTCTACTGCCAGCTATAAAAAGGCTAGAGAGGCTGAGTAGGAAGCTCTGTGTCCTCACTGGATGACAGGAGACCATTTTCCCCAATATGACAGTAATCCAGGGCTTTTCCAGTGGCTCCTTATAAGGCACTTGGGTAGAAATCAGAGGCTTTCCATCAGCTAGTGAGTGCAATTACAGAGGTGAGCAGGAGCTCCAGAAGTCTCGAAGAAGCAGTGGATAAATCCAATCAAAGGCTGGCAAAGGGTCCTCAGCAAAGGCTGCTATCCTGTCCATAACCAGGAGAATGGATCATTTCTGAAACAGTCCCGCTCCAGGCAAGGATATTAAGTTCAAGAGAGAAATAACCCAAGTTTGTCATACAATTCTGAGGGCTATGCCCAAAGGTGACACCACATTAGGGAAAGGGCATGTGATAGGGTTAAAAATCTAAGAGAAAGCTAGTTATTCTTTGGATTTTTCATCAGCTGTGTTGGGTTGTCACCCCACATTATAAATAATGATTTTTATCCTTCAACTAACGTGACAAAGAAAAAAAGAGCATAAAGCTGCTCTTATATTTTTGGTTGTGAGCCTTATCTTTTGGTCGTGAGATGGCTGAGCCATCTCTCCAGTGACCAGAGTTCCAGAAGATGTGAAAATTTATTCAAGCCATGCTAAGAAAGACTAATGATGCATATGTGCGATTGGCAATACAGTGTCATGCTGACCAATCTTTTCACTTTTCTTCACCAGAAAGATCAGATTTTGCAAAACAAAGAAATGATGACCATAATAAACTGTAATCCAGTCGTGATACATGAAGCACATATATACTTGGTCCTGAATCCACTGTACTGAAATTAAATAGCATGTTGGAAGTGTTCAAGTTGTATTTTAGAATATGTTATATTAAGTATAGCTGCTTTGCTTTTTAATTTAAATGCTCAGTTTTCTTTAATAGAGCTAGTAATGGTTTTCCATCAACTTTTATGCGTAAGAAATAAAATTGTCATCGATTTCAAAACAGAAGGAAGTTTGGAGCTGCTGCCAGCTTGTGGATTTTTTTTTCAATTTAACTTTAAATATGCATTTCCCAGGTAAGACTGATAACATCATAAGGATAGAAGTCTAGAACACAGTTTTTGACAAGATAAAAAAATCAAGTCACAAAACACTATTGTACACTATGATGACATGCATGATTTGGGGACTAATAAGACAGCCTGCCACGAAGGCTAGAAATCTGCATTTGGTCATAAAAAATTCACATAATGGAGGAAGAAGAGAACTGACTTCAAGTTCTCTCTCTCCCTCTTCCCCACCTCTCTCAAACAACACAAAACCTACCAAGGCCTAGGAGGTGTATCTATACCTTATGATCTGTATATAAAAGTATATTAAAGAAGGGAATAGTGCATGTACTTTTTGCATAAAGAATAAAGAA